AAAAGGTCAGAAAGCTCAAAAGTAGGGAAGATGGGAATGGGCCCAGTCTAACGATCTGAGACCACTGAAGAGATTTCTTTGGAAAAGCAAGGTAATAAAACAGGCATGAAAAGGGACTGCAAAAAACAAGTTTGGTCATCAGGGTCTGCTGCTATTTGACAAAACTGGGAGTCCAGGATGGCACAAAGTCCATACCACTTTGACAAGCACTAGAAATTCCACAAGGCCACAAATTCCTTGTGAACAAGGATTAACCCCATCCTAGCTTCCTCATCCCTCCCATTCTCTTTCCTTTCTGTTTTTCCACATTGAGCAGCGCATTAGTGCCACATATTACACGGGGCTTTCGAGAAATAGTACTTTACTGTCTTAGTTTAGGTTGCCATAAACTGGATGGCTTATAAACAACAGAAACATTTGGTTTTTTTTTTTGAGACAAAGTTTTGCTCTGTCACCCAGGCTGGAGTGCAGTGGTGGAATCTCAGCTCACTGCAACCTCCACCTTCCAGGTCCAAGCAATTCCCCTGCCTCAGCCTCCCAAGCAGCTGGGGTTATAGGTGCATGCCACCATGCTTGGCTAATTGTTTTGTATTTTTGGTAGAGGCAGGCTTTTACCATGTTGGCCAGACTGGTCTTGAACTCCTAACCCCAGGCAATCTGCCCTTCTTGGCCTCCCAAAGTGCTAGGATTACAGGCATGAGCCACCTTGCCCAGCCAACAGAAACTCTTATTCATAATTCTGGAGGCTGGGAGATCCAAGATTAAGGCACTGGCAGATGCAGTGTCTGATAAGGGACTACTTTCTGGCGCATATGGTCTTTTCACTGTAAACTCATATGTTGGCAGAGATCTCTTTATGGCCTAATGCCATTCATGACGGCTCTGCCCCCGTGACCTAATCACCTCCCAAAGGCTCTATCTCCTAATACCATCACCTTGAGGGTTAGGATTTCAACCTACAGATTTTGGGGGTTACACAGACATTCAGACCACAGGACTTACCATCTTTGCACTCCCAGCACCTGGCATAGTACCTAGCACGTATAGTAGCTACTCACTAACTGTCGAATGAAATGTCAATAAACACGGACATGAACAGCAGGAGTCATGGTCAAAGGTAGAGTGAATGGAAGATGTTATGCCTGCAGATGGGCCATTTCTGTGAGAAGCGTAGCACAGCGGAGGGGGCCAGTCATGGAAATTACCAGCTTGAGACCTCATTGGAACTGCTACTACTTAGTACTTTTCTTTATACTCCCAAATTTTTCCCAGTAAATTTTTGCTGCTTTCCCCATTGCCTGCGAGTATTTGACACACGTCCATACCCACAGTTCCTTGTTTTCCGTTAAGTGAGTAAATGCCTCATTGCAACACTCTTAACCTGTCTCAGATCCAAGGCTGCAAATAAGGCATACACCTAAATTTATGATGGCCTTTGCTACAAGACACTCTCCTGCTTTCCTAATGAGAGATCCAAAAAAAGGGGTATGGGCCAACTTAAATACACAGACTTTTAGTAATGTAGTTCAGTTGTTATGTGTCTATTTACACTGTTTGATTTGTTACTTAATTAAGTTATACATGCATATTTGAAATGCATGTTGTCTAAAACAATACATTAGCTTTTTCATTTATGTGTTTTAAATTAACTTTAGTTCTTTCATATGAATCTTAAGTTATTTAACACAATTTTTAGAGTATATCATCTTAACCTCTATTTAAATTGTTTGAAATAAAGTATTTTTTGAATCTGTGGAGAAAACTACCACTGAAATATTTATCACAAACCACAAGTTCCATTTTAACACTAGGATAATTGTTTTTCATCCACTCTTTAGTGTAGTTTCATGATCCCACAGTGTAACTATATACTAGATATTAAAGGCTTCTTTACAACAACAAATAATACTAACAACTGTGACAGTGCATTCTCCGCAAGATTAGGTACTAAATCTTCTAAAAATTTACTTGCCATGTTTTTTGGTTTAACAGCTCAATCAAGATAACCTTTATAAGCATTCCACACTGTCATTGATTACAGCTCTTTCAAGCTAATATGTCTTCCTGAAATAGCACCTCATGAATTAATAAGTGAATTTTAAAAAGCACCCCATAATATAAGAAATTTTGTAAACTCTTGAGTATAAAGCAACTTCCACTCATATTCAGTAATATTAGAGGGAAACGGCCTCTTATATTTGAAAATGTATGTACTTCCTTCTAACTTTTTATTAAAAAAAAAAATTAAGATTTTCTTCTCTAAACCAAAGCTGTATGATTAGAAAAGAAAACTGAATCAAAGGGTTATATAATATTAAGAACTTATTAAAATATAATTGGATTAACACACAACTCTGTAGTTTACAGGTCATAAGAAGTGATGGATATATTTTTATGTCAACTTAGAAGGAGGCTTTATGTGAACATTTGTATGTTTGAGTGCATGTGTATATATATGTAATGCCATAATTATGGGTCTGTCTCTAGTAATTAGAAAGTTGGATATGCTGAAGAGCAAGTAAATTGGTTTAACTGAAGTAAGCAGACTAAGTTGGAAGAAGGAAACAACTTGAATTTGACATACGATTTTGATAGCAAAGGACATCAAAGTGATTGGGTACACTTAGTAGCTCATTCTATTTTAAAATTGCACAGCTTTTCAGTTTTCAACATTAAATATACACGTTTACATATTTACATATGTTTCAGGCTACATTATTGGAATTTTGAAGTCATGAAAACCTCAGATGAACCAACCTGCAACACCTTGGATTCAGATTGGAAGATAAAGAGAAAGTTTAAAGAATGTGGCCTATAAAGGCGGGTACCTGGAAGTATTAACTGACTCACACTGTAAAAATGAGACCAGTTTCTAAACAATAGAGATTGTTTTAGTACAACATCAAGGTTCAAGACAAATGTTGAACTAAAAACTTTACACTCCCCACCCTCACTTCAGACAGGTACCAGCACTGGTGAATTATGATTTTCCTTAGTCGGAAACACTTACTTTTACCCATGTAGACCATCCTTAGGATTTAAATATTGGTTATTTAATGTAGATTATAATGGGAAGCTGATTTTTTCACAATGGCAGATTTCAAGGACTTGGTTCCAAACTGAGCTGAAGCTTCCCAATGAGTTTTGTACAGTCTGGGAAAAACTGTGCTGCACTGGCCCACTTTTGAAGGCCATCATGCTCTGTAATATAAGGATATCATCTTATTGCTGATATCTTTGGAGAGTCCCTAGCAGACACAGAAAATGAATGGAGGCAAAGAGTGTGACGGAGGGGACAAGGAAGGAGGTCTTCCAGCTATACAAGTTCCTGTGGGTTGGCAGCGTCGTGTGGATCAAAATGGAGTGCTTTATGTCAGGTAAGTTCTTATTATTACCTGTGGTACCTGCAGAGTTGCACTCCTAAGATTAAGGAGAGAACAAAACATGGTGACTGATAGCACATCATATAAATGTGAATAAGTGACCTTTGTGCCAGAAATATACGAGAATTTTTATTGCCTTAGACTTCCAGAGATAATTTTTGTGCATTACTTCTTTATGTAAGGTGCCATTCTGCTTATCTCTGTAACAAGGACAAAGAAAAATGTGAAGATTTCTCAAAGAACATGCAACCATCATTACAACATTCACAGGAGAACGTAAAATCCTGGAAATTGACCTGATATCACTTAATAGAATTACTCTGTCCTTCAGAGTGCTAATAGAAAGTTTCAATTATTAGACTTTTTAATGCCTCATAGTAACTAAAAATACATTTCTTTTTTCTGCATAGTCTTTAATCTATTTCCTTGTATAGAAAGTGAAAGTGAAAAAGTCATGGAGAAAGCTCTGCATCTTACAAGCAAATATCATACAAATAAAATGCCTACTCTTTTCAATTTCAATGCTGTGTATCTCTTATAGAACGAGTTGAATGGAATGACTGAACTGTTAAAAAGAAGTTTTGGTCTTATTTATTAAATAGTAGACACCTAAGTTCCTTACTTCATAGTTTTTCTGTAAATGTATGAAAGGTTAAGACACCATAAATCTTTCTTTGTGATGTAATGACAAACTATTAGAAACAGATTTAAAACTTTTAAAAAGGTATCACATTGCATTATTAAATTGATGCTATTACTTTCAGTGTGGCTATTTATATCCCATCTTCAACAGAATTTGCCAGTCCAGCAAGAATGTATTTATAGAAATGAGATATTTTCAGTTATGTAAACACAGACTATTTTATGTCATAATAACTCAGAAAGTCAGTTCAGATTCTGTCCTGAGTTTGCTTGCTTGTTTTGTGTAAGGCGTTTCTTGAGGCAAATCTAATTACCAGTTAAAAGTATTTTGTCACATAAATTTTACTTCTATAATATTAAAGATATGACCCATATTAATTGAGGTGAAGGGATAAGAAAGCAGAGCATATGAAGCTCATCCCACAGTGGATAAGATGAACACGCACACATGAGATAACTTTCAGAGTTTCTATTGCCAGTGCTGTTAACAAACCACCAGAAATACTTTGTTATAAATAGAATATAGCAAGTTATCTGTATATGTTTATATTTATGGTTGTTCTAGTTTGTCAAGAGCGAATGCATATTCAGCTTAGAACAAAAGACACTAAAATCTGGATAATTTTTTTTCACTTCCTTTTTATTCCTGTGAAAGATAAATGAGCTTTTTGATTTCTGTGAGCAAAATCCAAATTAAATCTGGGAGTCAAAAACCAAGTTGAAGTCTAAAAGACTGTCAGTTATCTTGTTCATGATTTTCCAAGTCTGACTAGACTTTACCATCTGACATCCTTGTTAGTATGGGTTCTCAACTTCAAATCTGTATACTGATAATTATTTTGGAAACAAGCTTTCCTAGATTAGGTAAAACACTCTCAAATTAAATTAACCAGCATAGATTTAATGTGCTTGTATATAACTGAATTACTACTTGAACATGTATAGCTCTTTCTATAGCTCCCTTCTCAATACGCAGTTTGCTTTTAATGTTTAGGTTAGTCTCCAGCTGCTCCTGCCTCAGGGTGGCATTGAGGCTACACATTACATTTTCCACCTACTTCCAGTCTTCTAAGCTTTATCTATGATACAAGTTTTGTAACTACTTTTTTACGTTAATTATTACTCTGAGAAATTAATTAAAGAGATACAACTGAAGGAAAGAACCCAGCTGACTTACTGAGAGGAAATGTTTTTAAAGCATCTGGAGTACTTTAATAGAATTAAGGAACTCTTGTCTTCAGGTTTTACAATTAAATTCCTCTAGGATTCAGTCCATATACTTTCTTTAAAGTTAAAATGTCAGGCAGTTCCTTTTCACCAAAGTCATGAATGCTTCACGTGAAAAATCAACAAGATATTATGCCTTTTTTCTTGCTGCTTTTGAGATAGTCTCACACTGCTGCCCAGACTGGAGTGTAGTGGCACATCTTGGCTCACTGCAACTTCTGCCTCCTGAGTTCAAGCAATTCTCATGCCTCAGCCTCCCTAATAAATGGAATTACAAGCACGCTACTATGCCCAGCTAATGTTTGTATTTTTAGAAGAGACAGGGTTTCACCATGTTGGCCAGGCTGGTCTCGGATTCCTGACCTCAAGTGATCCGCCTGCCTTGGCCTCCCAAAGTGCTGGGGTTACAGGTGTGAGCCACTGCACTCAGCCTGGCTTCGTTTTATTGAAATCACCAGACCTCCAAAAACATCTAGTTGCCTTTCCCTGCTGTGGCTGAACTCGTCACTAAAATGAGAATTACTCTTCTCTGCATAGCACCTGAAAAAAATGGCCTAAGTAAATGAGTACTTTGACAAAGTTGAGGATTTTCATTTAGATTTTCTACATGCTGAAATTACTTATATAATTGTCCATAAACAAAATATGAATTGCATTTTAAAGACGGTTCACTTATGGATTTTTTTTAAACTACTACTTGTGTTTTTGTAGAGATAGAACAAGCACAAGCTGTGTCCAGTATTATAATGTTTTGTATATGAAATGGAGATTATTGTTTCTGGATGAACTTGATCAGAGGGCTTAAGTGAAGGTTTTGTTAAATAGTCGTAAATAAAGTACCTTCTCGAATGAAAAGTATATCATTTCAAAGCATAATATGTATTTCAATTAAAACATAGACATGTTAATATAAAGTCCTAAAATGAAGATTGTCCATCTCAGATAAAATATAATAGCTCCCATGGTAAATAAAAATCAGAAACATGTCTTGCCATCTGAATCAGTACCTAATCTGTATTCACATATCTTACTATGTTCACATATCTTACTGACTTCTGTGGTCTGAAAAGTAGTAACGTTGAAGCACCTACACAATTACTAGCCCAAAGACCTGCAAGGCACCTTTCTGCTGCCAAAAACCCTATTTCCTCAAAAGTTTCCTATCTTTTGTCAGCTCTGCTTAATTCCTCTCTCTCCATCTCTGTACAATTTGACTGTTCAGTGTATCTTCAGATATAACTAATCTGTTATATCTTTAAAGAAACACACTGGTGAGGGGGAGAAAAAAGAAACCTGTTTTTACGTAGGGACAACTTGGTTCTAGATTCCAAGATAAACAGGGAACATGTTCACTCCCACTTTTGTAGACTTGCCAACTTTCTGGTTCAAACCTCAATATGTTTCTAAATGTCAGTTTTTCCTCAAAGAGCTTTAAAAGCAGATATTCTAGTTTAAAATGAGAGTCATTACTTTTATGTAGTTTTCTTGTTCTTTTTTCCTTCTTGCCTGCTTCTGTCCTTTCTTAAGAATAGCGTTTTTACCATCTTTAGTCTATTCTTGGCTTTCAAATACTTTTATTTAATTTTCTATGAAGATCTGTATTTTTCTGAGAAATATTTTGGTTCAAAAGAAAAAGCAATAGTATTAAAGGCTATAATTTAGTAGCTAACATAATATTGACAAAGAAAATGCTTTTCCCTAGTAGGAAAATATCCCATAAAGGACAGTAAGACTATAAATTATGCCTTTTTTCATATAATATGTGTAGTCAATATATTTCCTGATGTTTTTTTAAACTATTTTTGCAGTCCCAGTGGGTCTTTGTTATCTTGCTTGGAGCAGGTTAAAACATACCTGCTTACTGATGGAACATGCAAGTGTGGCTTGGAATGTCCTCTTATTCTTCCCAAGGTAACCATTTCACAATAGATCTACAGCAGTGTTTTCTTTTTTAGGTATTTTATATATTTGTTTTTCCCATTTGGCATTTTATTTTTTATTACTTCTGCAATCATACATCTTAATTCTTTATCTAATTAGACATATTTTGCATGCATTTTGGAATGCTTAAAGATTGTGGAAAATAATTCATGCCTAAGAGTCATTTTCAAAGGGGTCAAATCTATATTCATATTAAATATTTTATTAAAACCACCTTTGTACCTTTTCATTAGAGCTATATCTAATACTGCTCGGCATTTAATAGTGTAATATTTTCTCTCATTACTATATCTGCTCAAATCTACAGTGTTATTTTTAGCACTGGTACTGATAAATCTGCCACAAATATTCTCAGAATCACGAAGCTGAACGCTCATAGATAAAATATGAAAGTGTTTTACTCATTTGCAAGGTAAAAAGTAAAATAATGCAAAATGGTAAAATATTATTCGCTATAGAAATAGGTCATTATTTTGTGAATGTCTGTTATAATGCTAATTTTAAACGTAAAGGTTAGATGTGTGTCACCACATTCCAAAAAAAGATTTACATAATAAATAAATGTTTTTAAAAAGACAAGTAAAAGATTTTCAAAATCAGTGACAAGAAAATATTAACATAGTAATAAAATGAAGCCAAGGAAAAAGTTAGCATGTAGAAATAAAGCTTTTGTTTTGTCTTTTTTAAGTGTACTTCATCTGTTTTTACACTGTTAGAACATCAGGAAGTATCTAAAATTGAGCACATTATCAGATATTATATCTTTTCACATATTTATCTTGGCTGTCCTAGAATTAGAAAAATATTCATTATTTACTTTGCCACTAAAAACTTGAGTTCAGCAGAAGTACTTACCAAGTTATATAAAGTTGCCTTTCTTAAAAACTTGAGAAAGTTTTATTCAGATTTATAGCTTAATCTATACACAATTTTTTTAAACAAAAAGATCTTTTTATTAAATGTTTTTACAGACATATTCTAAACAAAGACTGTGCTTTTTCCAGGTATTTAATTTTGATCCTGGAGCTGCTGTGAAACAGAGAACTGCAGAAGATGTTAAGGCAGATGAAGATGTCACAAAGCTATGCATACATAAAAGAAAAATTATTGCAGTGGCCACACTTCATAAAAGCATGGAAGCCCCACATCCTTCTCTGGTGCTCACCAGTCCCGGAGGAGGAACAAGTATGTAATATGGTGAAAGGTTCAGGAATTCTCCTCTCCATAGACAGGAGTTGCTAGAAATCATTTTGCCAAGCATTTTCTCATTCTACTTTTCAGGCATGCACAATGCTTTAAAATTCTGTATGTTCTGTAATTTTATTACAAATAGCAAACAGGTTCTGAAAAATTATAATGAGGTTATTTCCCAAAATTTCTTATCCAGAGCATTCAATTAAACAGGCAGAATAAACACTAACTAGTACATGCAAATGTTCTTCAAGTGTGTAAAGCTGAGCTAACAAAAGCTCCCTTGGTTTTTAGGAAATAAATGTAGCCTTTTTCCTGGGGGTGGATTGGAATGTGTGGTATCAAGTCCCCAAAAGCAGTGTCGTTCTTTCAGTTATTTGTGGAACACCTAATAAATAGAAATCACCTTGCTGGAAAGTTTTTATATCCCCACCACCACACATGCACACACACAGGTGATTTCTTTTTTAAATATTTCAAAGCTGCAGAAAACTTGCAAGAATAGTTGATGGAGTATCCTTCATCTAAATTTACCAATTAACGTTTTATTGCAGAAGTTGCAATTATTGTGACAATTCAACCCTAAATATTTCAGAGTACAAGGGCATACTTCTACATAAACACAATCTAAGGACAACATTCAGGAAATTTGACGCTGATATTATATTATTATCTAACATGCAATCTATATTCAGATTTCTCCAGTGGTCCTAACAGTGTCTCTCATGAAGCTTCACAGAAATTCAGTCTTGGCCAGGTGCAGTGGCTCATGCCTGTAATCTCCGCAATTGGGGAGGCTGAAGTGGGAGGATCACTTGAGGCCAGGAGTTTGAGACCAGCCTAGGAAACACAGCAAGACCTATCTCTAAAATAATTTTTTTAAAAAACAACTAGCCAGGCGTGGTGGTGGCTCACACCTGTACTCTTCTTAGCTACTCAGAAGGCTGAGATGGGAGATCTTCTGAACCCAGAAGTTGGAGGCTGCAGTGAGCCATGATCATACCACTGTGCTCCAGCCTGGGTGATAGAGTAAAACTCAGTCTCAATTTAAAAAAAAAAGAAAAAGAAGCCAGTCATTTTAAAGATCCACAGTGCAATCGAAGATGGTACACTGCATTTAGTTGTTGCATATCTTTACATCAATTCCCAAGTCTTTTTCAATTTTTCATGACATTGAAATTTTTGAAGAGTCTAGGCCAACTTTGCACGATGTTCCTCAATTTGGATTTTTCTCATATTTACATTCAGGCTAAACATATTTTGCTAGGAATGCTGCATAGATGATGTTATCTCCTTATCAGTAGACACATAACATCAATCAGTCTATCCTATTTTGATAACCTTAAGTTTGATTGCTTAGTTAAAATTATGACCATTTGATTTTTCCATTATTAAAGTACACTTTTCCCTTTATGTTTAATGTGTACTCTGTGGAATTATACTTTGGAACTGAGGAACTTCTTTTTGTAAGGGATGGGATATGAATGATCTCCAAAATATTATAATCTAATGTTTGAATATTAATTCAGAATAAGATACGACTGAACACCAAAGCATTTGTTTATGAGGGATTATTGATACTTTCCCACAGAACTCTGAAAAATAGCGATGATGAGTGTAACCTGTAGTGATCAGAGAAGACTTTATGGTAGAACTCAGATTTGCACCAGCCTTGGAAAATGATAGGATTTAGACACATAAGGAGGATAGGAAAAGCCTGCTCCATAACGAGTGTAGCATAATAAGGGATGTTGTGGTTAACTGACTTGAATAGAAGATTAGACATATGTAGGTAAATTGAGGCCAAATTATTGATTGCTTTGGATACAAAGAACAGTTGCCATGTCATACAGGTAAAGATTCACACTTAGAATTCATGTGAAGAGATATAACTGTGTTTTCATTTTTGCATATTACCGTGCACATACTCTTACCTGTGGTTGCTCTCACTTCACATTATGTCAAACAGTTTTACCAGTTTCTACAGAGTCTGCTTGTTGCCTTGCTAAAGACCCTAGCAGAATCTAGGTCTCGGTTCTTTGTCATAGCTACACATTACAAGTTTAATTATTGAAATTAAAGGTAAATATTTAACTCGCACAGGTAATAATAGGTCCACCTCCATTCCCTTTTAAAATGATACTCTTTATGGGATTGGTTATTTTACTAGCTTCAGACATAGCATTTATTTTACTTTCCTAATTTTAAACTATGTTATTATAAGGTTGAGATTTAAATAATTAAATATTCAGAAAACTGACTTAGTAATTTTCTACCTCCCATTATTTAAATACATAAGCATCTGTTTCTGTTTATTCTTTTGAAAGGCCTACTTGAATATACATGAAAGCACTTGATGGGTGCCTAGCATTTCTGCTTGCCAACTCTGTAACAAAACATCAGCCTGACTTTTGTTTATTTTGTATTTCAATTATTTTTAAAATGGTAACTGTTTTTTCCCTAAGTTTGGAAGAAACTTTTTTGAACCACAGTTGTTATCTAAATTCTGTTAATTGAATGTAAAATTCCAGTGTCTGTATTTTTAACCACTGACTGTAGATAATTATATAAATACATTGATACACAAGAAAAAATGCAAGTAGGTTGTTTTGTCACTAAAGAGAACATGGTCAGTTATAGGATAAAGCTAATGATGTTCATGTTCTCATTATATGCCAAGCACAGTACCCAAAATATTATTTTTTCCATTTTACTCCTTTAATTGCAAACTTTAAGTATCTCTTTTTAACAAGAAAGTAAGCTTCAGTTGTGTTTATCTACTGCAATTTTCACATATAATTGGATCTCAGCTTTTCATATATTATATCCAGAAATCATTCTATCAAAGAACCTCTAGCATGATAGAATCAGAAAGTTCACATTTCCCAAGAAAAACATATGTTCACTGCATTCTCTTAACAAAAAACGTATGTTCACTGCATTCTCTTAGTAGAACGTGCCCTATGTAGATTGATGTGGAACCCAGGTTGAGAACCACTATCTCAGAAATTGTTATGATATGATTTGACCTGTATACTCTCTAGCAGAAGGAGAAATATATTTAATCTTAAATGTGTAATTATCCATGTAAGTAAGTGTACCTCTGATTGCAAATGAATGTAACTCTACTTGCTAATATAAGTCTCAAAATAGGTATGGCAGATATGTAGTTTGGATGGTGCCATTCTCATCTCCTAGGTCTGTAACAGACTCACTGGCATTTTCCCATGGAGCCCAGTTAGAGCTCAGCTTTCTTTCCAACACAGCTTTCTAAGCAGCTACCACCAATGGATGGGAATTGGCTTGTGAAACAAATTTTATTTGCCATTTTCCTTTTAGAAGACATGACTTTATAAAATAGTAGATATCATAAGGGGCTGAAAAACTGAAACCCAGAATTCTGATATGATAGAATGAAAATTCTGTGTGATGAGTCAGCTTGCTTTTGTTGCCTGTATTCTGATCTCCAGAAAAACTGAGGGGATTCCAAAAAGCCAGAGAAGAAGAAATGCATTCATGTGAAAAGAGAATATGCAAGTGGAACCCAGTACTGGAGGTTTTAGCACTTCAGCTAAATTTTACATGAGAAATCTATCCTAATAAAAGAATTGAAGTCTGTGACCATACCACCCCGAATATGCCCGATTGTCTAATGAAAGAATTACAGTCTTTTACCTAAGTTGAGGTAAAAGGCTGCAGCTGTTTTTACAATAATGACTAATTAAGGGCAAATAAAATACAGTGTTAGAAACATGATGTGAAACTAAGCATGGGTTAGTTTGCAATACCACTGCATTTATTCTTCTTATTCCTCCCATTATAAAAGATGTGGAATCCCATTAGAAGAAATTAACTCTTACTCTCATAGTGAAAGTGCTGGGATAAGGAAATATTACTGTCGCTGTTCTGAGAAGGTTGCAGTAAGATAACAGAAACATTTTTGTAACAGTGAAAATTTTGTGATGAAAATGGGAATTCATTTAAATCACCCAAGAAAATGTTATGCCACACAGATCACAATGTTCTGTTGTAACTGCGTTCTTCAAAATCCTAAATCCAACAAAATGGTAATATCACCATTTCCATCTGGGCTGCCAGTCTTGATTTTGCATATTCTTAATATTATTAGAATGGCTGATGTCATTATGTATTGATTTAGATGCCCATGCTTTCTCAACAGATAAAAAGTAAATAAGCATATGAGCACTTACGGAAAACCTTTGGTCAACAAAGGGAAAATAATGTAAATAAAAGTTTGAAATAGTATTAATATATAGAACTATTTTTAATTATATAGAATCACAGCTTTTATTTCCAGATTTCTATTTCCAGATGCCCTTCCCTCTCCCTTCCTGATTTCCTCCTTTCCTTCCCTTCTTCCCACCACAAAAAAAAAAAAAATTGAGACTGTTAACAGAATTCTTTTTTTCTCTTTCACATCAGATGCAACTCCAGTAGTACCTTCTCGGGCAGCAACTCCAAGATCAGTAAGAAATAAATCTCATGAAGGAATTACAAATTCTGTAATGCCTGAATGTAAGAATCCTTTCAAGTTAATGATCGGATCATCAAATGCCATGGGAAGGCTATATGTACAAGAACTGCCTGGAAGCCAACAGCAAGAACTCCACCCTGTCTACCCCCGACAGAGATTGGGCAGCAGTGAACATGGACAGAAATCTCCATTCCGTGGCAGCCATGGAGGCCTGCCCAGCCCAGCGTCATCAGGTTCCCAGATATATGGAGATGGTTCAATCTCTCCAAGGACTGACCCACTTGGAAGTCCTGATGTTTTCGCAAGAAATAATCCTGGTTTTCATGGAGCTCCCAATTCTAGTCCTATTCACCTGAATAGGACTCCTCTTTCTCCACCTTCAGTAATGCTACACGGTTCTCCTGTACAGTCATCCTGTGCAATGGCTGGAAGGACTAATATACCTCTTTCCCCAACCTTGACTACAAAGAGTCCAGTAATGAAAAAACCAATGTGTAATTTTTCAACTAATATGGAAATACCACGAGCAATGTTCCACCACAAACCACCCCAAGGCCCACCTCCCCCTCCTCCACCTTCTTGTGCTCTTCAGAAAAAGCCATTAACATCTGAGAAAGATCCACTTGGCATTCTTGACCCTATTCCTAGTAAACCAGTGAATCAGAACCCTGTTATCATTAATCCAACCAGTTTCCATTCAAATGTCCACTCTCAGGTACCTATGATGAATGTAAGCATGCCTCCTGCTGTTGTTCCTTTGCCAAGTAATCTCCCTTTGCCAACTGTAAAACCTGGTCACATGAATCACGGGAGTCATGTACAAAGAGTTCAACATTCAGCTTCAACCTCCCTGTCCCCTTCTCCAGTGACATCCCCAGTGCACATGATGGGGACTGGAATTGGAAGGATTGAGGCATCGCCCCAAAGATCACGCTCATCTTCCACATCATCAGATCATGGAAATTTCATGATGCCACCTGTAGGACCCCAGGCCACTTGTAGTGGTATTAAGGTTCCACCCAGGTCACCAAGGTCAACAATAGGGTCCCCACGGCCATCAATGCCATCAAGCCCTTCTACCAAGTCCGATGGACATCATCAGTACAAGGATATCCCTAACCCATTAATTGCTGGAATAAGTAATGTACTAAATACCCCAAGCAGTGCAGCTTTTCCTGCTGCATCTGCCGGAAGTGGTTCTGTAAAGAGTCAGCCTGGTTTGCTGGGAATGCCTTTAAATCAGATCTTGAACCAGCACAATGCTGCCTCCTTTCCAGCAAGTAGTTTACTCTCAGCAGCAGCCAAAGCACAGCTAGCAAATCAAAACAAACTTGCTGGTAACAACAGTAGCAGCAGTAGCAATTCTGGAGCTGTTGCCGGCAGTGGCAACACTGAAGGACATAGCACTTTAAACACCATGTTCCCTCCTACTGCCAACATGCTTCTCCCAACAGGTGAAGGGCAAAGTGGTCGAGCAGCACTAAGAGATAAGCTGATGTCTCAGCAAAAAGACTCATTGCGGAAAAGAAAACAGCCACCTACCACAGTGTTGAGTTTGCTCAGACAGTCTCAAATGGATAGTTCTGCAGTTCCTAAACCTGGACCTGACTTGCTAAGGAAGCAGGGTCAGGGTTCGTTTCCCATCAGTTCAATGTCTCAGTTACTACAGTCTATGAGTTGTCAAAGCTCTCACTTGAGTAGCAATAGTACCCCGGGTTGTGGGGCCTCAAATACTGCTTTGCCTTGCTCTGCTAACCAGCTGCATTTTACAGATCCCAGTATGAACTCCAGTGTTCTTCAGAATTCACTGACACAGAACATACCTTTAAGAGGGGAAGCCGTGCACTGCCACAATGCAAACACTAACTTTGTTCACAGTAACAGTCCAGTCCCCAACCACCATCTTGCAGGTTTAATAAATCAGATTCAGGCTAGCGGGAACTGTGGGATGCTCAGTCAGTCGGGCATGGCTTTAGGAAATTCCTTACATCCCAATCCACCTCAGTCAAGAATTTCAACGTCCTCCACTCCAGTGATACCAAACAGCATTGTTAGCAGCTATAATCAAACAAGTTCTGAAGCAGGTATGGTTTTATTAGAAAAAAGTACCCAAAGGTACTAAACTTTTCTACTTTTTTAAAAATTTGTACCAAAATATTTATTATGATAAGAAATGATCCTTTCCCCATTGTGAAATTCTCTTCATTTCTTTAGTATTTATAATTTTATTTACAGAATGCTAGGGGTTTGTCTATTGGAAAGATTAACAGCTAAGAGGATTCCATGTGTTTCCATTATTTGTTGTCAATCTGTGTCATTTTGAATATTGTTCAACTTTCACTTGGTTGTATAACCATTGGACTCTAAACTGCAAAATAAGCCATAGAAGACAGCGTTTCCTGGTTCGTGAGACATGTCCTGGGCCAATGCCATTATAAAAGCTGTCTCCCTAGCTTTTGTTTGTATTCAGGTAAATGAAGTTTATCTTGGAAAACCCAAAAAGGCAAAAATAAATGGATTTTTTTTCTTGCTGCTGAACAGAAGTAGGTGAATGGATAGGAAAAGGTAACTAGAAGTTGTACGAAGTAGAAAGCTGTCTTCTGATGTGTTTTCTTATTCTAGTTTGCTATCTTTTATTATAATTTGTTTGAGAAAACTCAAAATGGATATTGGCTACTCCCTTTTAAAAAGAAAAGCTAATAATTTAAGTTTTCTAATAAAAAAAGGCTTGAAAACCTGATTTCCAGAATTTTTAATCTTGAAATTGTTTTTTGATTTTCTTGTAGAACTAAACCATTTTTACCATTGACATTAAGGTTTTGAACCCAAATTTATTGTATCTCTTCATCCACTATTAACTAAGGAAACAAATTTATTTGAAAGTAGGCATATGAGAAAAAGACCTGTGTTTTGTGCAATAGCATCCTCAGAAATTGTTATAAAAGCTGTACAGACGCACCTAAGAGGTAAATGTATTGAGGCATCAGAAAATTTGACTATAAAAACATTAGAAAAAATATTTAAAATTTGACACTAATGACTTGTGAGAAATGACAAGGAGAAAATAAAAGATGATTGTAAAGACATTATTATTCACTATGAAAATAGTATGCTATAAAAACCAGATTGCTCCTGGAAATGAGAAAACCGCTGAGGTTTTTAATAATAAGCTAAGGTGTAGGTATGTATAGATTGTGTAATACCATCATGCTGGAAAAGCATCTAACCCCACGTCTTTGTTGCTGATAGTAAAAGCATTTTCCTTCCTGGTGTTGCCACTTACACCTGCCATCCTTCACATCTTGTGTTACGTGTTATGTTTTGATGTCACTATTTAATGAAGAACTATTCAATGACCTCTTCTGTTAAAAAGGTATACATATATATGTGGTTTAGAAGATATTTGAAATTATTAGTGCCTTCTTGATATTCTTAGTTTAAAGAATCTCATGAAACTTTATTTTTTATGTGTTTAGCAGTATACTTATCCCATAGGAGGCTTCAACTTTTCACTCCCTCATATTCCTTTTTAGATAACTCGACACAAATGAAAATTTAATTTTATATGTTTAGAAGAAAAGTTACACAAAGTTCATAACTATTTAAAAGCACACCATATTTATTGAGCATACCTTAACTAATTTTGATGAGACATTTTTAGCCTCACTGTATTATATAATTTTGATACCCCTTACCTCAGTTTACTTCATTTCAGGTCTAAGTTCATGTGCAAAGAGTATGTATTTCATTGTTGTATTTCAATTCATATATAATGGAAAAGACCAACATTTATTTATATTCTTGTTTCTTCTGATGGTCAAGTTTAGACTTATTTCATACTGTTTTGTTCATTTATTTTTGTTTTTTTGTTTGTTTCGTATATCTTTGTAAAACATCTGGCCTGCACTGTTACTGCTGGGGGTGTCAAAGCATATAGGCTAAAATTTTATTAGTGTCAGAAAAGTGTTAGCATATAAATAGGTAAAAAAGATAAGGATACATGTCTAGTAATGATATGGATGTGACCAACTAGTGTAAGCTAACAGGAAATATGTGCTTAATAAAAATCTAAGTATGAATTTTAAAAATATTAATAAAATTAAATACTAATTAACGTGCATAGGTGTGATGTGCAGCTGGTTATGAAAACGGATTGATTTACTAATTAATGTAACTCTTTTGATGAGCTAAATATTGAAGCAGTCTCTAATGCCATGTTTCTTTTTGCCATGTAGTGAACTTTGTCAACTGAATATACCATCATTGTAATTGCCTAGCCTAAATATCTATTTACACTGACGTTTATTCATTCATCAAATAACCACTGAGGCCTAAAGCTAGGCATTCAGAATGAGACAGTAAATGATAGTCACAGCTATATCTGTAGGAGTATTACTAAGTATTCCTATCATACAAGAAAGACATTAGAAGAAAACCACATTTTATTCTTAAAATGTTGCTATAGCTATCTATCATCACATGCCTATTTTGTACCAGGTGATTTCCCTATATTATTTCTGATCTGTGCAGTTTTCTAAACTATAAGGCATTATTGTTCAATTTTACAGATCAGGAAGCTGAGGCTCAAAAAACTTAAGTAACTGTTCAGTATCATACATAACTGAATCAGGATTTAAACTGCGGCTTATCTGATTCTAAAATCCATTTTCCTCCCAGCTGCATAAATTCTTCATCTGAAACATTTAGTGCTCAAAGGTATTGTGTTCCCTTTCAAAATCTTTTAAAATATTCTACAGATAAGGAGTTAAAGCACATTAATGCATGTTGGAAGCCACATTTGTTAACTATTGATATACTTCAGATGAAAATCGGTTATTTTTGCCTTCTTTCTTTGGACTCTGACATTATAGCAAATAATGACTAGAATTTTTATGTCAATGCAGAAGAAGAAATATCCAAAATGTCAAGAAACTGCCCCTTATTAGTGAACCACATTTGGTGACTTTTCTTTCAATAGTTATCATCTCACTCAAATTAGAATGGGTGTCCTAGTAGATGACATGTCAGTAAGCCTTTAAAAGAGAGGCAGATGCTAGTCATGTCATTCTAGGCATGGTTGCACAATGAGGGTGAAAGAAACAAACAGGTAGCACGATCCAACTCTACTCTGTGGTTACAGAGCTTAGACACAACTCAGGTGACCTCCTGTTCAATCCAGTGCCTTTTTCCACTCTCCTAAGTAAAAGTTCAAAAATATTACATTAAGACATTAATAAGATAAGAAATAACTTGCTCTGAAAAATGCTTCATTCAATTGGTAATCTATTTTTAAATCTCCTTTTAAAGAGAGTTTTCCTATGCAAAACAATCCAAATATTGATTTTTAGGCCTATATGTGAATTCTATGGAGCACATTTAAAACATACAAACAAAATATGGGAATTGAAGACAAAGATAGTAACAAAATCAGATAAAAGATATGAAATAATTGGAAAACATTTTGAAAACTTATGAATATACAAGGCTTTATTAAGTCTACTTGCTGTTTTCAAATTGCCTTTCCACTAAAGCTTCAAAATACTTTGCATTTTAAAGTTTACAGGTTTCCACTGGCTTTTTCAATACTAAATTACAGGTAAAGTTTAATATTTTCATGTAACAGATTTAGAAACTGACCAGTAGGATACTTGGTGACATTCCTCAAGTTGTAAAGCAAATCTCTGTTGGATCTGACAACCAAACCCTGCAGCTCCCAATTCTCAATCCAAACACTCAGACTGCCAAATGCAGGTATGTTTTGGAAATCCATCAGTAGTATACATTTAAAGCAACTTTCCATTTTTAAAGAGAGACACATTTCAGCATGTGAATGGTTCTAGCACATGTCCTATAGTATTATGGCTTAAGGAAGACCAAAATCAAGTGCCATTGCCTGGCAGACTTCAGAATGTCCAGGTCTCTTTAGTCCTCTGACTACTGCACACCTACTTAGCACATAACAAAAACACATGCCAGTGACCCAGGCCTCTTTAGAGGACTTAGCCCCATCAGTATCCACACAATGACCCCTCCCTTCCATGACCCTGTAGTTTTTCACAGTTTTCAAATAAGAAACAAGATTGAGATTATTCTGCCAACATACTTACTAGCAACCCTGTGTTCTTCCAGTATGATGAAATCATTAAGTCGTTCAACACAACATAACTCTTTTCACTTTAAAATGACTTTTATGTTCTGTTATTTTTTCCTAATAAAAAAACACTTTATCAGCTCTCGTAAACAATCTAATCCACTGAGGGGACACAGTATGGGTTTGTGCCAGAAGATAAAATAATTCAAACATTTATTTGCCTTAACTCTTAAAGATATACATGACTAGAATATAAATAAGCCTAAAAGTAAATAAATGTTCTTGAATATTTATATACTTATATTTTTTTAACTGCAAAAGAAAATTTTCTTTCAGCACAAAATACATTTGATTGAAACTCAGGACAGCCATTAATGTGGTAGGTATAAGACAATGAAATAGACCACAAAAGAACACTTTGAGTAAAAGACTACAAAGTAATGAGTTAGTTTGTATGTTCTGTTTGTTCGTTTGTTCTTGGAACATACCAGTAAAGAAAATAAAGGGTATTGTCATCTCTGTTTTTTCTAGATGAAGCTACAGGGGCAGAAAGATTAAGGGATAAAAATGCTCAAGGGTGGTTTGTATTATAAAGTATCTTTCTCAGAAGATGAGAGGTTTGTATAGAAATAATCCAGTGTTATATAGATTGATGTAGACTGAAGAGAGAGGCAGAGCCTCCTTGAAGGCTGTGACTGAATAAATGAGTTGCTAGTGAAAGTATTTTCACTCAAATTTTTAAATGCTTAGATTTTATTCCCCTCTGATGCACAAAGTTTATAGGTTAAAAATTGTCCTCTGCACTTGTTTTCTAACCAAGCAACAGAATTATACTAAATTCTGGATTGTGTGATAAAAATCTGTCTATTCTTTTAGTAAATTTTTGTAAAATGAGCCATTTTTTCTTTGCTGTACGATATTCTTAATATAGTTGATGTCTTGTTGTTTGAGAAGGTCTCCTAAAATCAGGGTTACACCACATTTTGTTTACAC